GCTTATTATTATTATTATTATTATCAATTTAGACAACATCACAATATGATTCCATTGAAAGGAGATGAATCACATTGAATTATAACGCATCTCTAATATCCATATAACAATTAGTGATAATTTCTCACAGGTCGTTTATCAATATCACGTAATATCCACAAATAATTGTCCCTAAAGCTGCAATAAGCAAGATTTGATCTCCAGGTAGCGACTCAAATACAGCTGCAGGATTCTTTAAAGTTATTAATTCAACAGTTGACACGCCCACTCACTGCCATGAACTCATTCCTGTATCGTCTGAGAGCCCGAGGCTCCGAGGCTAACCGTCACCAAACCATGTGACCGAGGACAGAAGACACAACCAAAGCGGATCACAGAGAGGTGGAGCACCAAAAAGAAGGGACAACTCAGCCTTGTTCCCACACAAACAGCTGTTCTCCCACTTCATTTATAAACAGAACCACATCAGTGAGCCCAGCTGACCCTTTAGCTCGGCACAATCTGGTGCAGGTGGCAAAGATTAACCCGGACCCGTTTCCCCTGCTGTTCACGTTAGACTCCAGTGAGACTGCATGAAGCATCGCGGGCGCCTAAAGTCAACACAGAACAGCCAGGACTTTACAAAAACAAGAGCCCGATATCTGATAAATGATTCATCAACTTTTGATGGTTACAGCTTCTCAAATGTGACAGTTTGTTGCTTTTTCCGTTTACGTTATAATACGCTAAATATCTTTTGGGCAAAGAAGCAATTTGAAGATGTCGTCTTTGTTTTGCAAATCAATCAAGAATATAATCTGCTGGTTAATGAATCATGAATATAATCGTGAATCAACATTTTAAGTAAATTCATTTTCATTCTAGTTTCTTCACACTTTGTTGTTATTTTGAAATAACTTTAATAAGATGTATGAATCAAATGTTATCAAAGTTTTTAGAGTAGTAGTATAAATGTCTGTTTTTGCATCTTTCGGGTCATTTTTGCTGACGTCTTTAAGTATTCTTGAGGAGAAATAATTGACCCTACTGTTGGTTAACAGATGGGGAACAAAAACAAACTGACATTACTGCATTCTGCATACTTCTGCTGCCACTCTCTTGAGTTCAAATTTTTAAAAAAAGCATGAGCAGATAGGTGAGCCAATCAGAGCAGACCTGACAGACTGGATGGGAGTTCACGTTCTGCGTTGACATACTTCATGTTTCCATGAAATTCCACTTGCTCTGCAGGATTTGAAGCCTGAAGCTGGGGGAAGTTTCGGCCTGCCCGCCCCGCCCCTCCATGGATGCTCCTATGACACCGCTGCTCCTCCCAGACTCCCACACATGGGTGTATATGAGCCAACGGATCGTTTCTCACTCGACACGTGAAACAGATTGTACTTCATGATGAGGCGTCACATTCACAAAGCATGTTCTGAGGTCTGTAAACCTCAAAGTAAAAGAGAAATGTCACGGCTTCAAAAAACAACAAATGTTTTCTTGATTAAACTAAATGTATTTACCGCAATTCAGTAGGATTTCTTTTCAAAGGGTCACAGTGAAACACAATATATTATTATTCAATAGCAATGTAGTTTTTGGTGAGTTCAAAGCATAAACAGCATTGTTTTTATCTAATATAAATTGAATCACGAGACACTGTGTGATGTTAACACAGACGTGTCACCCAACTCTGCAACTCCACAAAGCTTTTCAACCTCTTTTAGATCAATGTTTCCCATATTATCTTTATAAATCCCGATTTTAACAATACATTTTAATTTACTTAATCTGTGAGTGTAATAAAGCAAAAGGGGTGGAAGAAGTACTCTGATCTTTTACTTATGTAAAAGTAGTATTATTCCAGAGTGTAGAAATACTCTGTTACAAGTAAAAGTCCTGTTGAAGTGCTGGAGTAAAAGTACTCATTACGCAGCATGGCACATTCAGAATAATCTGTATTATGATATTGGATTATAATTAGTGATGCATTCATCATTTTAATGTTGCAGCTGATCAAGGTGGGGTTCATTTTAACTACATTTTATATTTGTATCTGCTAGGTAGCTTGTGACTTTCACCAAGGGATCAATACAGTTTCAATCTATACGATGACATATATTATTAATCTGCATTTCCAAAATAACTACAGGAATCAAATGCATATAGTTAGTGGAGTAAAAAGTACAATATTTGCCTCTAAAATGAGGTGGAGTATAAGTATGAAGTAGCGTGACATGTACCTCAAAAAGTACCTCGTACAAATACCGAAGTACAGCACTCACCACGTTAAGTATTAAAGTATTTGCAATGGTTACTTCGTTAGCAAAGCACTAAACTAAGTTTTAAGCTAACTCGAGCTACAAGCTAACGTTAGCTTAGCTTAGGCACCACCTGTCAAGTTTGTGGTACTCTGTGTTTAAAAACACACTACTGTCGGTACAAATATTGTCGTTACACCAGTAATACGTAAATAAATATACGTGTAAAAGCAACACGTTTTACACGTATATTTGTGTTGTAAAAACACGTGCATTTGTTTTGTAAAATCAACAACAACAACAGGATGACATGATATGAGTGTCAACATGTGCTGGCAGCAGGCAGGTGAGGGTGTGTCTCTCTTACCTGACTCTCTCTCCGTCACCGGAGGACCGATCCGAGAAGAACCGTCGTCGCGCGGGTTGTTTCTTAACTCCTTCGGCTGAAAAGTAAAGTGAAATATACAAAAAATGGGAAAAGGTGTTTCTGTTTCTTCTTCTTCTTCTTCGGAGGGTTATTTAGAAGTAGTTTATTGCTGTGTGTTCCTCCCCATCCACCCAGACCTCCGATGCGTCTGTTGTGTGTCTGTAATCAGATGCTGCTCTCCACAACATCCGTTCATCCTATTACACACTTTAACCCTTCACTGTCTGCACGGCTTTGTGCTGCCTTCAGGGACCGTCGGGAAAAACAGGCTTCCTCAGCATAAACAACTCGACTAGATATAAATATAAAATCAATTAAATTGTAAAAAATAAGAATAACTCCCTTTACTGTACTCTAGTATATCATATTTCATATTTTTATTGTTATATTTATTGTATATATTGTGCATTTTTATTATATTTCACATTGTTTTTACTATGTAAAGTGTCTTTGAGTACCTTTTAATGCGCTACACAAATAAAATGTATTATTATTATTATAAACAAGTCAGCGTTCACATTCTACTAAAGATATAAATATAAAATCATAATCAAATAAGAATAACTCCCTTTACTGTACCTCTACACATAGTATATAATATATAATATTTTTAATTGTTATTTTTATTATATATATTGTACATTTGTATACTCAATACTTTTTGTTTTTTACTCTGTTACTTTGATTGCTTACCTGTATCATAATGCTGCTGTAGCGAACACATTTCCCTTTGCAGGATTAATAAAGTACCTATCTATCTATCTATAGTTTAACTTATTATTAATTTAAAATATTAAGACAATAAGGGTACTGTAATAAGACTTTATAATAAATCACCTCTGGCCAAATCAATCACACGAATATAACACTGTTACTCTTTTGTTTGTTTGTTGTTTGGTTAAATCTTTGCACTATTGTTTAGTTAGTTCATTTTTATATGATTCTATTTCATTGTATATATTGTGCATTTTTATATTTAATATTTGTAGCGGCCATTTGTCGACTAAATCAAAATGAAACAAACAATAATCAAACGCCACTGATGCACCGTGGTCGGTGTTTTACGCAGCCAGAAGAGAGTGGATTGTCCAAGCAAGATTCCGATTTTCGTATTTATTAAATAAAGCAAACAAAACAAGCAAACAAACAAAAAGAACAAAGAAAACTCCTGTCGTGCTGTCTCTCCTGTGCTGTGCTGGTAAAAACTATAAGCCCACCCCGGTGCATGCTGGTCCTATCTTTCTACTCATATATATACAACAGGTGCCCACAGTAATTACCCAAACAACAAAACATTATATAACTAAACGAATTATTTTAGATGTTTGATATATTAAGATTGTTTTTTCTCTTTAATAATAATTTAACAATACTACTTATAAATTAAATAACAAAATACAATATCAAATAAATAGCTCCAACAATAGTTTTTACTGTTATTTTTATTATATATCATATATATATATATATCTATATATATAAAGATATATATATATATCTATATCTATAAATGCTGCTGTAGCGAAAAACATTTCCCCTTGCGGGATTAATAAAGTATCTATCTATCTATCTTAAAATGTGACTTTATTTTACAATTGGCCTGTAAAATAAAATAAAACAAACATATATAAATATAAAACGTTACAATCTCCCTTTACCTCCAAACTTAGAATTGTTAATAAAAGTGTAAATTTAAACATTTATTTTAAAGCCAATGTGTCTCATAGGCCTACTTGTAAGAAAACTTAACTGGACAATTTAATTAACAATTAATCAATAAAAATAGCAAAATTCCAAACACCTAGTTGGAATTATTATCAATATTGGATATATTTTTTAAATTTTCAATGCCAATTAATCTTGTGCCTGAAAGATAAACTATATATACTATATAGTATATAAACTATATATATATATATATAATATTTATTATTATACAGCTCGTCACTTAGGAATTCAATATGCATCACCGGTCAAAGCTGTTTAATGTAAATACATGTTTTGTGTTCTCTTCTCACAGGTTTCTCTAATTCACTTTTAACACATTTTATCTGTGATTCAAAAAAATAAATAATAATAATCTTGAATAAATGTGAACCACCCAGCTAAACCTGGAAGGTTGAATTCTCGAGGTGTCCCTGAAGGCACCATTAACCCAGACCCACTGATATAACTGGGTTAACACACACACACACACACACACACACACACACACACACACACACGCACACAGTTGAATAGGTCATGGTTCTATGAAGTCATAGGATGGTTATAAACACAATCGGTCTGATAAATAAATGAAAATAAATATTATTATCACTCCCACACAGTTTCTTGTCTCAAAACACTCCACGTTTAATTTCCCAAACAATTAGAGAATCAGTTTAGTTTACAAACGGCGCCATCTTCAGGACACCAGCGGCATCACAGAAACACTGTCGTCTGATTGAAGTACAGCAGCTGATCTGGAATGACACGCTTTCATATAAAAATTTACTAAAAATATTACTCTCCAGTCTGTCGCTGGAATTATTTCAGTCAGATAAGTAAAAGTATTACCACAAATGTATTGTGTCAAAACTACAAATTTACTTTTAATTGAAGAACAGTAAACAATGTAAATACTTCTGCTGCTCAGCTACTTAAAGGAGATCTTTCTTCACGTTAAACTCTGAAGACCTCCACGTCGTCACCGCTCCTCTGCTAACAGCGATCTGAAGTTCTTCAGCTCTCTGATGCTCGTGGAAATCCTGCAGGACATTGAGTTGAGGTGAACACTCGTGTTATACAAAGAAGACAACAGCAGAAATGCACATTTTGACCAATACGATCTCACCGACATCAACAGACTCCCTTACCTCCCGAAGGCGTTGAGCAGCGAGACGATCTCCTGTCGGCTGAGCTGGAAGCTGGGCCTCTGGTCGCCGGACGAGGGCAGAGCTTCAATCTGTCGCTCTGAAAACAGAATCTTCAGTGATGTTCCTAATCCCTGAGTCTGGTGACGAGACAGAGAGAGAGAGAGAGAGAGAGAGAGACAGAGAGAGAGAGAGAGAGAGAGAGAGAGAGAGAGAGAGAGAGAGAGAGAGAGAGAGAGAGAGAGAGAGAGAGAGA